ACATGGGTGGCAAGCCACTCCCACAAAGGAGGCCACACCCACAGAGTAGGTTCGAACAATTTTTGAAACCCACCACTGGGCCACACCCATCCAGTCACATGACCACCTAGCCACGCACGCCCACCCAGTCCAGCCCCCCCAACCATCTGGGGGGATTGTAAATTGGCCCCCTGTTTAAAAACTCTGAGGACCCCTGCTCTAACCAGATCAACAGAAGACTGAAAAAAAAAGGATGGAAATAAAAATGAATAGATTCATCCATCACTTTTTCAAATTTCACAGCCTGGTGGCTATTGCCGTTCTTGCACAGAGTTGCTCCCAGCTTAACAATTTGGAGAGAGAGAGAGAGAGAGAGCAACCCTTTTTCTTGTCTCAGTAATAAGGCATTTGTCAACGGTTGCTTGGCAGCTCCCTACGAAGCACGAAAGGCTTGTAGAGACCAAGTAGAAGATGTTGGTGGCATGAAGCTGCGTAGAAGAAATATTGCTACTGTAGACTGTGTCTTGGGGACGCAAATGATTCTGGACCGCCAAGATTTAATGTGCAAATGCAAATTCTGGCAGAGATTATTCTCAAGATCTACATTACAAACACGTACCATGATTACATCCTCAAGATCAGAGCTCCAGCTTGCATCAAGAGCAAGGCAAATCTTTTATGCAGCGGAGAGCCAGTTTGATTAAAATTCCGAAATAATTTTGGGCCTCCATCTCCAGTTTAACCCTTTGAAGATCTCGGAAGCCAAAAGTAATTTTAAAATGGAAAGCACCTTCATCCTGCTTCAAAATGATGGATCATATGTGTTCTAGTTCCCCCCACCCCCAGCCCCAGCCCCATTCTAAAGCAGTGGTGAAATTCAAAAAAATTCCCTACCAATTCTGTGGGCATGGCTTGGGGATCATGTGATTGGGTGGGTGTGGCTTGGTAGTCATGTGACCAGGGGGGAAACAAGCAGGAACCTCACAGAGTCAAAAGAGTTGACTCTTTGAACCACAGAGTTGGTTCAAAAACCAACTATCACACTTTACACAAAAATAACACAACTGACTCACACACAATGCAAAAGCAGCTGGACTTCACACACACACAAAAAGGTTCCAACAATCGGCACAGCCGATTGTCACAGTTGATCGTTGGAACCTATTCTTTAAACTATTTTTTAGCATTTTGCCCGGTAGTAAAAAAAGATACTTTAAAAAAGTTTTTAAAAAGTTCTGATGATTAGCTGTGCTTTTAAAAAAAAATTAAAAAAATTTAAAGCATTTTTTTTTACTACTAGTTTGGGTGAACCAGTAGCATTTTTACTACCAGTTCTGTACCTGTTTACTACATGACACTGACTCTGCTGGCGACTGGCAGGCCACCCCCTTCACCAACCTGTCCCCCCTGCCTGTTCTGACTGAGGCTTCCCAAGAGCATTACGCAAACTCCTTGTCCTGAGAAAAACCCCTTTTATTAAATTACTTTGAATTTTTCTCATTCACATCCAGTCTTTCAAGGGAGGATTTACAGCCACAGACCTTATCTGGCTTGGAGAACTGCCAGGTGATATCTGCAGAACTTGGCAAGGAGTTTCAGAGAGTCATGTATTAATTAAGCAAACTAACTGTCTCCTGCAAACTCCACTCCCCTTTCGCTTCTCTTTTATTTCTGCTGGGAGGGGCCATCACCATGCCCTGTGGCCTTACTCCCAAGTCAACCCCTGTTCTTTAGCTGTTCCCTTCGTCTGGAAATTCTGCTCATGCGACATTGGGAACAGGCTCCAGTTGTTCGTCTGCCTCACTGATGTCGTACTCTGAAGGCAGCTGATAACTGGCATGCGGCCCTGGCTCTCTCTCTGCCTCTGACACAGAGCCGTCATCATCGGAGCCTTCCCCAGACTCCAGGACTGGCCCATGTTCTTCTCCAACCTTCTCACTGTCCGAATCTGCTGCCAGCTCTGCTGGTCACTGGTGGGCCACAGAACAGCCAGAGAAGTTTAGCAAAACATTTCAGGCTCTTACTTGTGAGAGTAAACGTTCTTGCAGATATTCAGATGAGTCAGGTTTACACAGCATCCACCGGCCAAGGCACCAAAGAGCTGGCAAGAGGAAAATAAAAATAGCCAGGGACATGGGGAGAAACAAGTCAACTCACGGAGCAGCTGGCTGGCTTAACAGAACGAGGGTTCCCTGTCCTTTTACTACAGGGGTTCATGACAATCTTTGCAGTCATGATGGATTTCACCAAAATGATGCCAAAATAAAAGGACAGAATATCACACATCCCTGGAGGATCGGAAACAATGGTTGCTACAGTAGTTGCTCACCATGTCCAGAGCACAGTCTGACCCAGAGAGATCGAGATGACCCAAAGCATTTGGCTCATTCAGGAAGGAAAACAAACCCTGGGAAAAAAAGAGACAGATGCAAAGAGAAATTGCTACTGTGCTCCTGTTAATAACTTCTATGATGTCAACATACAACCACAATTCAGGGCCAGAATTTTTCCATGCCTGTTCTGACCCCCCTCCTCCGTCCAGGAACGAAAGCCGAAACCAACGTAAATGAGAATGTTTCTTTTAATCAGTCCAGACTCTCGTTAGCTGCAAGCCACATAAACAAGGAGATAAGCACTCTGGCAGCAAGTCCTACAAAACTTGGCAGCAATGCAAACAAACTCTGGCAGCAATCCAGCCTGCCAAGTTTGTTTCTTGTTCATCCTTAACGTTGACTTCTGCAGAAGGGCATGGCACAAGCAGTCTCTTTTATAACCAGGAGAGGATCTTAATGAGCATCAGCTGAGCGTAATCACCTCTTGTAATTACTCCGTTGTTCTTAATGCCGAGTAGCCCTTCGACGGCGTGCATCCCGTAACAGCTCACAGGTGTTTTCTGGATCACTCACGTTTGTCTCTGCCCCACTGATCCAAGACTCAGACGCCACCTGGTGGCCAACCAGTCTCTCCTTGCCCTGCTCAGAGTCGGAACCCTGTCCAGGGTCCTCCACCTCCTCCAGGGCTGACTCATAAGACCCCTCGCTGTCGGAGTCTGGTGGCAGCTCCAACGGCTCCTGCCGGGCCACAACACATGCCTAAACAAGGCGATTCTTAAGTGAGTGCTGCCCGATTTTACTGCCCTTCTTGCCATCGTTGTTAAACGAATCGCTGCAGTTCTTAAGTGAATCCTGTGGTCATTAAGCAAATCTGGCTCTCCCCATTGGTTATGCTTGTTGGAAGCCAGCTGGGAAGGTCGCAAATGGTGATCCCATGATCCTGGGATGCTGTATTGCCAGTTGCCAAACATCTACTCCCCACTAAAGCAGGGAGGCAAGGAATGTTGTGGTTCCTGTCCCCAACGGGTCCCGTCCCCTGAGGAGATACACCGGGTGGGACCCAGAAGAAGGGCCTTCTCTGTCGTGGCTCCCTCTCTCTGGAACTTCACCCCCCCCAGTTGATGATTAAAATGGCCCCCCACTCTAACCCTCTTTTGGAAGGCCCTGAAAACATGGTTTTGCCAGTGGGTCTGGGGAACCCCGAGTGGGATGGAGTCCATTAAATGGTTGAATTGATTGTGTGTTGTCACAGAGGAGTGGATGTTTTTTTTTATTTTATTATTTTCCCTTTTATTATTATTATTTCCTTTATATGGAGTTTTTATATTCTTGTAAGCCGCCTTGAGTCGCCATGTGCAATTAGGCAAAAAATATAAATTTTCTAAATAAATAAATCCAAATTTTGATTACATGGCCATAAGCGTCAGGACTGATTGCAAGTCACTTTTTTTCATTTCTGTTGTACGGTAAGTTTCAAACGGTTGCTAAACAAATGGCTATAAGTCAAGGACCACCTGTACATAATTAGGGGACTGGAGACTAAAACATATGAAGAACGGTTGCAGGAACTGGCTATGTCTAGTTTAAGAGAAAGAAGGACTAGGGGAGACATGATAGCAGTCTTCCAATATCTCAGGGCTGCCACAAAGAAGAGGGAGTCAAACTATTATCCAAGGCACCTGAG